TTTCATGAATCATTTCACCCTGTGAACATGTTAGATATATTAATTTAAGTAACATGCTCTTAGCTTTTTTCATCCTGTGAGCACTTCATCTTGTGAGGTATAACTTCATCCTGTGAACGTGTTAGATATATTAATTTAAGTAACATGTTCTTAGCTTGTTTCATCCTGTGAGCACTTCATCTTGGGAGGTATAATTTCACCCTGTGAACGTGTTAGATATATCAATTTAAGTAACGTGCTCTTAGCTTGTTTCATCCTGTGAGCACTTTATCTTGGGAGGTATAATTTCACCCTGTGAACATGTTAGATATATTAATTTAAGTAACATGTTCTTAGCTTGTTTCATCCTGTGAGCACTTCATCTTGGGAGGTATAATTTCACCCTGTGAACGTGTTAGATATACACGACTGTTTCCGTTAAAGTATACAGCGAGTGTTAAATTCAGTTATTTTTAGAAGTGATAATTTATCGCAGGTTTGTTTGCGTAAAGTGTGTACGAATCATACGTTGAGTAGTTCAGTTGTTGTGAATTGGCACTTGTTGTGTTATTGCGTCATGTTACTAGAAACTTCTAAGTGTTATCATTGTTTTAATTGAGTATTATTGCATCATATTATCGCGTAGTGTGTAAAATGTTCGGTCTATAAATACAGAATGTAGTTGAAGACAAAGTAAGACAAAGATAGATAGTTATTTAGTTAGATAACTAAATAACTAGAGCTAGATTGCGAGTTTAACCATAAAGAGCGTATAGTGGAATTTTTTAAAGTAAAATTATCACCAATTGTATTGTAACAACAAAGTAGGAAGAACAATTCGTCTTGTCAAATTGTGTTTTCAAGGAACTGAATCAGCATCTGTGGAATTTGGCAAAAAATAGACAATTATTTAAAGCTCTGGATACACTTATGATAACCTATAGTGTATCGAACATTTGTATATACGTTTGACTTGTTTTAATATCAGGCAGGTGGCAGCACTGTCTATGTATGGATGGTCTGGGTTGTTCATTAAAATACTATCATAAATATCTCCTCAATAGGTCATCAGAACACTACACTGTGTTTCCTTTAATAACAATATTTATGTACTGACTGAGTCACAAGTTCTGACAATGTCTGTAAATATTCCAGCAAAAAGTTTGAAATTCTTATTCTTCTATCTGTTGCTTTTTTATTACATGATAGCTCAAAACCCAAAACAATGGTGTCATATTTTCTAATGGAGTATCCGTTTTATCAGAATTATTAATACTAGTAGTAATTTTAAAAATATAATTCTAGTATAAACGATGTTATCATTTTCCTTGAAGTTAGCTTTGTTAGAGAAATTTATATTCACAACCTTTTTGTATCTATTGAAACACTGCATTCAAAATAAGCAGAAAAGTAAAGAAAAACTTTTCGATAAAAGGAAGTAAATATAGGGATGGTTAATACCAATAACATTTAGTAAATTTGGGTTGAAAAGTTGGCAACGAATAACGAATAATAACCGTCCACCCATAAGATTCTTTTGAAAACTTGAGCTAGAAACTGTTAATCTAGTTTGCTTGGCCTAACTAATACTTATGGATGTGCACGTCCTTTCATCTTATAGTTTTTCTGCTCTAAATCAGTCGTCCTTAATTCGAATGACAAAAGACTAAAAAAGATCC